GTCCGAAAAATGTGGGGGGAAAGAGAACGAAAGGAAGAAGTAGAGAGATGGTGGACGCAGTGTAGTGGATGTATGCCCAATCACTGCGTGTTATATATGTTTTCATCGGCCGACAAAGGATTCTCTATATCTACGAAAAAAGTAAACTCTATCGCACTGAGATTTGAGCCCGGGAACATTGACTGGCTAATTTGATGTTCGCGACACGGCTACTCATGCCGACAACATCGTAGTATAATTCCCTTATTTTAGAAGACATAAGTTGTATTTTACCTGTAAATAAAAAAAGCCTAAAGCGAAATTGAATTGTCTTCTCGAATTTGAATTTATAGAGTTTAAAGGCTTAGGATTTCTTTACATTCTGGCGATCAATTTATGCGGCTTATATTACGCTATTGTCGGTCTATTCAATAAATTTTGCATCCCATTCAACAGGGTTTTCATTAAAGAGATTTTTCAATGAACGTGTAAATCAATGGATGAGTGTACTTACATGTGTTACTGTTAAAATTATTAACTGCATGCATAATATTTTATTTTTTCTTTTACATATATAGCAACAATTTGCAATTGTTGCAATTGTTTTATAACGAAAATGACAAAAAGAAATCACAATCGCAAAGCTATTCGTTCAGTCAACAAACGAATTGCTTAGTGCAAATGACACGACACAATGACAGACATTGACGCGTCGTGACATTTTATGCGATTTCTGTCAAATGCAAAAAAAAGCAAAGAAGAAAAGCAAAGAAGAAAAAAAAGCGAAAACCATTATTATTAAAATATGGTTTAAAAAGATACAAATATGCAACAAACTCAATCGGTTATGCTTTACAACAAAAACATAACAAAGTGGGAGTTTTTTTATGCTTTAAATGAAACTGTTAAAGAGTACAAGCTGTTAAACTAATAAAAACTAACCTTTTTTTTATTTATTTAATTTTTTTTTTATCTTGAATTTGAACCAGGCATTGGATTTGTTGATTTAACTAAAGATCGGAGGGTGTATGCAAATTGTTTATAACAAAAAAAAATAAAAATAAAAAATAATAAAAAATAATAAAAAATAATAATACAAATAAAAAGCAAATTAAAAGCCACTGTCATCTTTTCGTCGCGCAATCTAAGATATGTAGAAGGAAATCACTTTTAAAATTACAAATCGTTAGATCATCGCTGAGTAAATTTAAAATGAAATCTCGACAAATCGATTCAACTTCAATGAAATATTTCTTAAAGGTTTATAAGTATTTCGTGAGTACTGACTAAAGTAGCCAGTACGTAAAGTACGTAAAGCTTGAAGTTGGCGATGAAAATATGGTTAAATGCAACCCTGGCGCAGACATAGAAGTGTCGAAAATTGAAATCTGAAATTTTGAATGATTTTTTCTCGAAACCCGTTTTATTCCATTTCATCGTACTGCTTGCTCTCTACATCAGTTTCCATGCGATTGCCTGGACATTTCAGCTGCGGCTTCCATATAAAATTTCCTAACGATCATCGTCACAGTTTTCCGAGAAATTAAACTAATACGTCAATTTTATATTCGAATTTATCCTCGATGTCCTTCTAAGAAGAAGCCAAAACCAATTCTTCAATTAAAATTATATATATATATATATATATAGATATATATATATATATATATATATATCTGCTGGTCATCCGATTATAAATTGACTTTTGTTTTGTTATTCGAGATACAAAATCGTAGACAGTGACAATGCAGTAAGGAAGACCAAGCAACAAAACAGGATTTTTTTTTTCTTGTTTAAATAAAAAATCGGAAAGAATTTTTCTTGTGTGTTCTTCTTTTTCTTCTTAAGTACAGACTTTTACATGTGAAAATCTTTATATTATATCCACCGGCAGAGTATGTGAATGTTGTACAACAGATAATACTGTAAACAACTTAACAACATAATCTATAGATGATCATCTAGTTGCAGAATCTTAGTATTTTGTTCCTTTGCTACAACGTGTGCAACAAGCAAGAGAAAGTCTCAGAAACCCTTTAGAGTCTTGATCGCTATCATGTACTAAAACTATCTAGACGTGGCCGCCTATCATCTATTCACCTGCCTGTTTATTTATTTATGTCAAAGCTGTAGTAAACGTTCTCTTGGTTGCACGATCATTGGGAGTTCTTGCAGGTAAGCTGATATTCAAAATGGGAACCCACCCAAAGTACAGCTTGATATCAGAACGCCGCTGTTGACAAAAAATGAAAAATGCATTTTTTTATTCATGTTCTACAAGAGATGTAACGATGCGCACGCATGTGCCATTCGCACGCATATGCCCTGTATAATCTTAATGTACAGATGAACCAAATAGAAAAACTCGGACTCGTCCATGCCATAGTATGAAGCACTGAAATTTCATATCTTTTGTTTTTTTTTTTTTTTTTAGAGAAAAGCATGATCCCTATGAAAGATTTCACTATTTCCGAAAATAATTTTCTTACTTTTTAGTGACGTAGAATTTAATGAATGGAAAATCGAAAACATCGACATTATTGGCAGATCGGCCTCGATAATTAATCACATTCTGTACTATTCTTAAATCAAATTTACATGACCAGACATCAGACGAATAGACGGACAGACTAGCTTTGATCAATTCGGAAAGTTAGTTCAGTGTAATAAACGACAGACCGATCTCATGTCCTTCCGCACGAACTAAATATACCCGTTGCGGTGTACAAAAAGTGCATATATAGATCTATCGGCCATGTGGCAAAACGTTTCTATTCACTATTACCTAAACTGGTTATTACGATGATATGTCATATAAGTTTATGCTACGGAGACACTGTACATATTATATATTCTCGATCCGTATCAAATTCTAAATCAATTTAAACGTGTCCCACTGTGTTACGTCTGTGGAAGAATATTCCCTTCACCGTAAAGATAAAGCTATCGTATCAAAATTTGCCAAAAACTTTGAAAATTTTTGCGGATAGTTGGTATTGGAAATCCGTGAAATCATTTAAAGGCCACACCCACAATACAATATAAACTGACAATAATTGTGTTTTTAAAAAGCAGATAATTGTTTTTTGTTTTTACTTGTTATACGTAGCCTAAAATAGATATAAAAATAACAAGAAAGAAAATTATATTCGATGGCGACGGAATCTTTTATACCCATAAACGTGATCCTGAAAAGGAAAAGAGCAATATCGGATGAGAGCAGTCGTTTATTTTATACCTTCGAACCAAAAGTGGATATTATTATATTGTGCGTATTGTACTTTATGAGCAACAACTCGAACACACGGAAAGCAAAAATGTCCACGTTTTTTGCTATATAGACTTGTGGGCGTCGTACGTGTGTTTGTAGGCGATACCTTAATCTTTGTGAATGCACAACAACAGATACTACACAATTGTTCAGACGGACAGATGGAGAGGTGAGCGGGCAGGCATGCTTAGATGCATCGCGAATTTGAAACTAGTCAAGTATTTATATACTCTATGAGATTTTTGAAACTTGCTTCTATGCGTTGCATGCGTGTCTGGAAATTTTGTACCACAACTCTTTTATCTTTGATTATTCTTGTTGTTGCAAACTATAGATCGTCAAGCATTTCTGCCTTCTTCCTGATGTTTACGACGTACTCGTCGTAACTTTCAAAACCATTTTAAAAGCTTTGCGAGTTATCCTCATTTTAATTTTGAATTCATTACGAACTGTAATTAAAACAACATCCCTCAATATCTCACTGGGATATTTCAATACGAATGAATGCAATTGTTTGAATGATTGTATTTTTAATGCTATTTGTAATAAATGAAATTATTTCGCATATAAAATAGATGTAAATAGCAAAACAAAAAGTTTAAATTTCATTACAGTATTGAATACAACAAATCAATATAAAAAATATAAAAGAATAATGATTAGAATGTGCAGTAGAGAGAGCATTTCTTTCCACTGTAACAGAATAAAACAAATTATTTATATAATATTAAGAAAAGGACTAAAAAGATTTGACTCCCGACATAAACTAATCCGAAAGCACTGGCCCATTGACGAATAAGCAAGAGTAAGTAGACTTATAATTTTCAAATATTGGGTGGGCATGGCTGATTTTTTGCAATTCTATCCAATTGCTATAGAAGCATCTATAACAGAATATATGTGCGAAACTTTTAACGTGATCGACTGCTCTAGAGACTGCTCTTAATGAGCAAAAAAAATCCACTTTTGTTAATTTCGATAATAGATGCGTTCTCGGCTTATGTTGTATTGGAGAGTGCGTGCTTTAAAGAATTCAGCTCATTTGTAATACTAACCTGCCCCCCTCCCCCATGCAATAACTTCTGACGCGTTTAAGTTTTCAACCGGGAATGTTTGTCATACATAAACAGCCGAGCGGACGGAGAATAGTACGGACGACAAGCAGAATTTAGTACTGATGAAGATTATACATAATTTACAGGACTCACTCAGAAAACCTTGTAGATCCTGTATATATATATATATATATGTATGTATATAGGTTCAAAGATACATGTATATATATGTATGTATATACGTTCGAAGATGAGCTTCAAAACAACTCCGGTCAATAAAATGAGAATGTAAATATTCTCATAGGAGCACAAGCAACGGAACTTTGATATAGAAAAAAAAAAACAAGCATTATTTTTTGACAATATTCCTTACATCCAATGCATAAGTTTGCGAAATTTTCGTTTATGTTTTTTAGAGGGCGTGTGATGGGGCAATGTTCCCCCGGATTTCCTTTTATAAATTCAAAATCTACGACATCACTTCGTTCATATGGATGATAATTGCACAGTAACAAGAATCCATCATAGACTCTTTAAACATAAATATTATAATCTTATTTTAGAGGGAATCTGTGTTGAGGTCATACGTACTTATTCATAGAACAACCAAAAAAAGCAGCCAATGGATAAGCCAAATGGGTAAAATTATTTTCACCCTTTAAATAGCCATTAGTTCTCATATGAGTTTCATCAAATGCTTCTTTAGGTGGCTCCATTCCAAATTTTTCTCTATACCATGTACGAAGTGCATTCTCAACGATAATATTTGGATAGTGAACGTTTTTTTGGTAATAACGATTTTGCGAAACTTTGCAAAAGTTATCCATTTCCTTACCCTTTAAATGAAAATGTGTCTTTTCATATTCAAGCGATTGATTTAAACGCGTACAAATATCATCGTCGTATGGTGTACAGCGATAAATATGCCTCTCAGCCATCAATGCCAAATCGTCATTCCAAATCTTGATAATACGAAAAGAGAATCATTGCAAAAAAAAAGAAAAATTTAAATACAAAAATTCGATCAATAAGAAATATTTAGAATACATTTACATACCAATTCCATCATATTTGCAACTCGCATAACTCCAGCAATACGATTCCTGAGACCATTATGTCCTATAATTAGTTGTCGTTTCATTTTTAAATAATCCTTCTCGTCTAGGCGTTGTCCCTCATTAGAGCAATTTTTCCTTTTCATGTTCAGATAATGTTCATCCTTCATTTCATAAAGCAAATGTATTAAGGGAAAGTCAAGCTTGCAACAAATACTATGCAAATATTGGCAAAGTGATAAGACTTACACACAATGTATGAGGCTGATCAACGCAGAACATACTGCAACGAAATTTGCTAAAAATCACGTTTGTTGCATGAGGTGCAAATGAAGCGCACAAATTTATACAAACTGCAAATATGAGAAAGAAGATGTATAATTGGCTTTTACAAATCATTGTTGTCACTCTCTCCTTTTGCCAGGAGTTGTAATGAAAAATTTTATAATCTCAACATTATATTAATTGTCAATTTAGAAATAATGATTGCCACACATTCAAATTTCTATAGCAGTTATATGATATTTATCACTGAAATCCTTAAAGCACATAAGCATGAAATAGAGCAAAGCTTTAGCTATAACTAGGTGTCTATCCATTCATTCATCCATCCGGTGCCTACTCATGGAATTGTTAAAATTACAAAATTAGATCATAGATAGAAAATTTGCACTTACATTTTTGCTTTGAAGTTGTTAAGGAGAACTCTCACGTTAAGTAAAATATGAGAAGAAATAGAAGAAAAAACTTTGAAAAATTAAACATTCAGAAGACTCGACTCGACTCCGTCTTTCACTATTGAAGTTTTCATTTACGTGACATCGTCAGCGGCTTAAATGTCAATTGATATGAATGGCAGTAGATATACGGGGAGTGGTTAATAGATGTGTAGAAAGCGTGGAAGTTGTTATACTCAAAACTAGGGTACAATGTCATGCAGATTAATGAACAATGCATTAGTTTTTAAAGCAAGACTTTAAGGCTGACTGACTTGAATGACTTATATCCGAAAAAATTTCAATGCACAAGTCGTCAACCTGAAAAAATATTTAAGAGTTTGTAGAAAGACTGATAAGAAAGAAAGTCGATCGCCACTCAAGAATGTTCTAAATAATATGCATAATCAAACTTCTACCTGCGTATCTCTGCTGAAGTATGGCGGACTTGAAATGTTTTTGAAGCCATCAATTGCGAGGGATACAAATTGAAATATCTTACAACAGCAGTATGTAAAAAACTACTGCAGACAAGGTGAGAAGAAATTTCTAAAGTTACAGAAATTCTTAGTAAGTGTGAAGGTTCGATCGACTTGTAAAGCCATAAAGTATCGCGAGTGATCTCAGTAAAGCAATCTATTAAGTCCGAATCCCTGTAAAGGAATTGTAGCTAAGCTTACAAAAATAAACAGATGACAGCCGTAGGTAGGAAATCCCCACCCATTAAACCTTACACCACCCAATTTTCTTATAATGTCTTGAAAAGTACTATCTGTAGTTCGAACACAAGAATACGCAGATAGACTTTACGCAGACAGAGAGACGGACGGATAGATATGATTAAATCGGTGGAGAGTCATTTGCTGAATCAATTGCTATAATGAAGTGCGGACTGCACACATCGACACAAAGACGCAACCTTAGCACAAGCGGTGTAGCGTATAAATGAAATGAAAAAATATCGCATACAAGGCAATCGCATCTGTAATCAATAAAGTCATTTTATGGATAAGATTTTCTTTATGACATCGATTGAGGAATATCAGGCAATCATTTGTTTCCGAATTTTTTAGTAGACTGTTATAATGTTCTAATCGTTTAACAATTGCCTTTTGCATAACCGTTTATTATCAATGCTAATTATCATTTTATAGTGGATATCGATCGTAGTATAAATGCTTATCAAAGCCGAATTAAAAATTGGATTGAGAAATAGAATGAGATCGATTGACTCGTAGCTTATATATTTTTTATGGTAGAATATTTTACAATCGCTCGAAGTAGGGGATGTCAAAGATTCGTGGCAAAGTGAATGTAATATTTCTACATGCTTTTAATTATAAATGCAGAAAATTAAAAGAATGCGCAATTATTGATGACAGCTATATAAAATAACGACTTGTTTCGTCATTTTATAAAAATTTATTTGCAAGGAGTGCCCCGTCATTAAATACCAGCAAAATTATGCATCACCCACTTTAAGGGATCGTTACAGATAAAAAAAGTTAACATAATAACTTGTTTTGCTAAGAGCACGTGAATCATATATATGTCAGTTAAGTTACTTACTATGACTGAATTAAAAAAAAGTTAAGCTAAGGAGTTCTTCCCTATCTGCATTAAATAATATTTCATTTAATATTTTGCTACATTTCATTTCACATATATGTGTAATCACGTTTTTAGGCATAGTACTTTCAAAGTACATAAAACCCTCCAAAAACCATGTAATCAAACAGTTTCAAACTGACAAATAATCATTTGTCTTACTTAAATTACAGTGCATATGCAAACCGAGCGGCGGAAAACAACAAAAACAAAAACAAAAACGCTAAAGTGAAAGATAATGATAGCTTATATGAATTGTGAATTTATTACACATATACATATACATCAAGTCAAAATAGTGTAACAAGAAACGAAATAGAAAATCACTGCAAAATCATATTGTTTAGGCAGAACACCTAAACACGTAAATACCGTATATATGCGAGTAACGCTGGAAAAATGTAAACCGCAATTGTTGGGAGCACTCGCTCGAACCTAACTTCGGATAATATTAATTTGCATATATATGATTGTTGTTGTTGCGGTTGTTATAAACTTAATTGTTTTAAACTTAATAGTAGTAGAGTTTTACTTTTCGCTATTTTTTTTTTTGATATATGTTTCGATCCAATAAAAAATTTCGAGTACATGCGCTAATTTGTCAATAATCATCATTTAGTTCCCGTATGCAAAGGTGTATTATATATTGTATGTATGTGCAGAAATTATTGCAATCTATCGAATATGGACATGCATTACTTACTTATTAAACGAGTCAATATTTGAGTTAACAAAATAATTGATACTTGCACGTATTCTAATCATTTTTGTTTTCACTTGAAAAAGCCATTTATTGAGAAAAACTGTTTGATTGATTAAAATATTTTTAACATTTTCTACAACTTTTTCCCATATTTCTACGAACAGGGCGATACTCTATCAAAAGAATGACATTAGTTTGGCATCGATTCAATCATTGATCCATTTTCGCGCTACTTTAGTATTTCGAAATTATCTATGTCTGGTGAGTACGCTGGGTGCGGTAGAACTTCCCATTCAAGCTGCAATAGCGACTCCTTGATAACGTCCAACCGGCCGTTAACAGCCTAAAGGATGATTTTGCTTTTGATAATCGCCATTACTGATATTTTTTGCAACAACACATCGTGCAGATTGTTCAACTGACATCGGTAGACATCTGCAGTAACAGTTTCATTCGGTCTTGGCAGTTCATAATACACCGCACCTTGCTAATCCCGTCATATGTATAGCAAAATTCCGTTTCGGTGTCGATGAAAATAACTCTCCTGGATTAATCCATGAGTTGTTGTGCTTGGGATTTTCGTAGTAAATCAACTTTTCATCGCCAGTCGCAGTACGCCACAGAGAAGTCTTCTCTTGTTGCCTGGCAAATAATGAAACCCCATTGTTGAAACGGTTCGAAAGGGTATTTTCAGTCATTTCGGTCACGTAGCCATTTTCCCTCCTTTCCTGGATCTTCTTTACCATCGATCGATCCATCGATAAACGTCTCGAAACATTTGGCTCATCAATTGCTAAACTGTTCGAAAGTCCATTGAGATTTTGCGCAGGGTTTTCGTTCAATAAGTCTTACAATACGTTGCCCTCGAACTTCAGGCTGTTCTTTGTCATTGACATCAATTTCCCTACTTTTACCCAAACCGACAATTGAGATAGGATGGAGGAGCATCACTGTGCGGTTCTAAAAGTGTGTGAAGGGCTTCGGCCGGAGATTTCTTCAAATCGAACAACAAAAGTAATGAAGTTCGAAAATGCAATTTTGAAGGATCCATGATTAGTGTCTGTATACACTGAATAACTCAGTATTACTAATTGAGAAAATGTTCCCCGATCAAAATACACGCAAGTACCTAATACACATGTAAAAAGAAAATTTACCTTACGCGGCAGTGAACATCAGTTGCTCAGTTTCGAAGGAAAGCGTATATAACATGAGAAGCGCTACCGTGTAAGTTTTTTAATTTCATAAATTATTTCTTAAATAATCACGATTGATATCCGAAGCGTTTTATAAGAATTATTTGTGTGACTTAAAGAGTATATTTTTTGATTACTGCTTAAACTATTTATGACAATGTTTGCAATGTGTTAACTTGAATTGAGGATTTGCAAGCAAATAAATTTTTTAACTGACGCTCTTAACTGAGCTCTTAAGCATAAGCTACTAAATAGCATGTTTTTTGACGGATATATCGTTCGTTCATAGATGAAGTTCTTTATGAACTTCAGATTCTAAATTCATTTATGCTTTGTGAGTTGTATCTGTCAAGTGGCAGATAATTTTACTAATTGTTACCGAAACTAATTGTAATCGAATTTTCGGTTATGGCGATTGATTTCTTTACGTTTCGTAAATAATTTTCTTAGTTCACTTTATTGACAATATGTTTTCTTTTATTGATTGTGCATGTCAGTAGGTAATTGGAAAAAAATCAAACGGCGATATTTGAAAGTCAATTTCAGTACAAGTGAATGCGGTGAAATAATGCATTTACTATTAACTGAAAGTTAAACTTATCCAAGTTGCAATTTAATGTTTATTGAAAACAGTCAAATTATTTAAAGTTTTAATCGATCCTTTCCCGAGACTATGTTTTCCGAATTGGCCACGTTTTTAACGTTGTCAAGCCTCAATCATACAACTTCAGATTTCAGTTTTGTAACAAGCAAGAACATGGAAAACAATAACTCAGTTCATAGTATTGATTATATAGCCATGTGAGCGTTGCAAACGTGTTCTTTAAAAAGCTTGGATAATTTTCAAATTATTTTGCCAATTTGTTGACGATATCTTCATTTTCTCGAACAAGACCGTGTTTACCATAGGTACTACACAGTTGCTAAGACGGACAGATGGACAGATG